TTCACAAATTCAAGGCTTCTAAAACCTATGCATCTAGCAACCACCATTCTATTTGATTGGTTCCTATTTTCTAATATGATAGTGATTCACTTTGAGAGTATATAAAAATATAGGCAAATTGTTAATGAAATATAAAACTAAGAATTAGATTCTAAGGACTGATATCTGTACTGTTCCCCGAAATATTTATGTTCTCTCCAAACATGCACACAGCCCTTTCTCTATGGAAACATTACGCAAATGATGAGTTATAGATTATATTCATCATAATCCCTTAGCAAATCTGAAAATGATCAATATTGAATACCAGACTTCCTAAGCATAGAACCCTGGGAAGTGATGCTTTTAAACTCTTGGGCATCATTGTTATGGAAATAGAATTATTAGAACAACTGCTAAAGGACTGTGTAGGACTCTGTCCTACCTCTAGGATTAGAAAGTAATTCCACTGCCTTACAAGTGCAAGGACCCGAGTTCAATCCCCGGTACAAAAAAAAAGAAAGAAAGTAATTCCAGACATTTTGTATTATCTAGAGAGCTACTCAGTCATGCATAGCATCCAGGTGTTGAGAATTTTGTAGCACAAATAATCTTTGAAACACTGATGATATTCATTATTGTAGCACAGTGCAATCATCTTGGCAAAAAAGGGAGTCCTGACAGGTTTCAGGATATAATGTCTCCTGAGGTGGACATTGGGATGCAAGATTTGAGAAAGGCGATTTTCCTTCAAGTGTGATCAGGATTATTGATACACGAAAATTTACAGTGCAAGTGTAAGCTTGAAGAGGAAATCACAACTCACTTCTAAAAAGTGTTTTACTTTATCTTAAGAAGTAGCAGGTAATCAACTGAGGATTTTTCTGGAGATAGACAGTGTCCTGTAATGTGGTACTATCAACACAAATATAACATGAGTCAAATATGGAATTTCCAGTTTCTAGTATTCACATTATAAGAAAGGAAAAAGATGCTAGTAATACAAGCTGTAATAATATATTGTGTTTAACCAGCTATCTTAAAATATTCTTTCAATATCAAACAGCATACAAATTATTAGTGAGACAGTTCATGTTTTTTATTTTATTTCAAGTATATTTTACACTATAACATATCTCAATTAAGTCAACACATATCAAGAGTTCTATAGTCACCAGTGTCTGGTGGCCATTACATGGGGTGCTTGGTGATGGTCTAATATGTCTAGTAGACAGAAATGAAAAAATTACATTCATCTCTTATACTTATCACTTACCTATCTGGTGATGTCTTGAAAACCATATAACTTTTTTCTCCTGTTTAAAATTATTTTTGGAGATACCAACTCTCTATGTTACCCAAGCTAGGATTGAATTTGTGATCTCCTTGCCTCAGTTTTCCAAGTATTTGAGGTCTGCCACCATGCTTGTCATTTACATAACTTTTGAGGTATAGTTTTTCATTTCAGAAGATATAAATTGGGAATAATACATTATATATGTCTTACAAGTCTGCTGTGTCTTATTATTCTCTAATCTGCAATGTACAAGTCATACATACATACATTTGCTGGTATGCTGGGGACTAGGAATGACTAAAAAAAATTTCCACCAGATTGAAGTTGAAAAAAAGATGAGGTTATGTGTTAAGGATTTCCAAGTACTTAAGGGCAGAGAAATTCTCTTCACTCAGGGATAATAACTATAAGCCTAATGAGCAGATTTACTATTATTTGTTGTTGCATGTATTGTCCTTAATTCTCACACAGCATAGGGTATAAAGATCTAAAAAAATCCGCCCACTTCTGCTTCACATTCTACTTATACTACTAACAGACACTTGTTTGAGAGAAAAGACATGGGTAGTTAAGGACAGCCTGGTTTTTAGTCACTTGTTGGGCCAATAGCCCAATGATACATTAATAATCTAGATCTGTGCATTTTAATACTTATATTCCAGCTAATCACCTAACCTGCAAAAATCACTATATAAAATTCCTTACAATTTGGCTGTGCAGTACAAAAGCTCCCCAAATTACTTTAGGGTTCTGTAATCCATATAGTAATGTGGGCATTCTGGAATATATTTCTGAGAAAATACTTACTTTTCAACTTTAAAAAATGAAGCTGCTCTGAATACAAAGGCATTAGCTATGCTTTAGTGTGCTGTTATTGTATCATACAAATAATTGTGAACAATGAAGTATTAAAACAGATTTAGTACTACTTATTGATTTAAGTATTAGTGAAGCATAAAGTGAGAGATAAATGTAATTTGTGAAGCTTGTCTTTTCTTACATGCAGTCTAATCACATCCATGCTATTTGGTCTGGAAATAATTCCCCCATTATTTTATCAATATTGGAAGCTACAAGTTTCACCACAGAGTACAATAAATTTGTAAGTTTTCATCTACCAGGATGGAGTTGCACTCTCTGATCTTTTCTTTCTAGGAATTAATGCACATAATGGCAAATAATTAAAATTATATGTACATTGCTTATTTTATTTTTTACCTGCTTATTGAGTTTGCAGTTATTTTTGGTCTTAGGGTTAGGGTGTCCAAATTAGTAAAATAGTTTAATCTTCTTTTGTTTTCAGCAGAACTATCTCCAAAGCTAATTGTCATTAAGGTAATGATTAGGTGATTCCTTACACATGTCTTGGTATGCTTTCAACTACATTTTTCAGAATATGGGAGCCAGACAGCCTGTGCAATACTCACAGCAAGGATGAAAAACACCTTGCTGAAAGCAAAATAAAGAGCTGAAAATAAAAAAGTCCACATCCCACTTTTTCTTCACATCTTTTCTCATTAGCACAAATTATTTTCCAGAAAAGGGTTCTTACCAGATAATTTTTTAGCAAACACCTTTTTTAAAATTCACTTTCTCTTTCTTAAACTAGTTCTAATTTAGGATGACTGGAAATGTTAATTATTAACACTACCCCATTCAGTTACCTCAGCAGCATCTTTTGAGATTCAAGAGGACTCTGGTGCTGCAGTGGGGTTTGTAAAAAGAAAACAGCTCACCCCAAAGTGCTACCATCTCTGTGAAGCTCATACCAAGAAGAAACTAGAATGTTGTCATTCTAAAGGTTAAAAAGTAATTCAAGTAACATTTATAATGAAGAGAATATCAGCATAGAATGAAAAGCTGCACTATCTTAAGTTAATGAAGAGATCATATATTAATTTCTGCAATAAGTTATGACATCTCTACTGTCCACAGAGCATTATATTAACACCCAATAATTTGAGTAAGAAGATGTAGTGCTTACATTCACATAGCCTGACTCTGGTGAAGAGAAATGTATATTTGAGTAATTTAAGTAATAAATAAGAATAATTTCCATAATTCTTGACAGCCTAAAAATTGGGATCCTTTTCCCCTGACTTGGAATGTTGTACATCAAAGAAGTGATATTGCATGTGACTCTTGAAGAATGAGTAGCTAATTGTCATTTGCTAAATGAACAAAACAAAGGAATATAATCCACACAGAAAGGTCGCTGAGAAAAATAGGACTCATTCCATTATCTACGGGATGTTAAACTGTCAATGAGAATATAAAACAATGTTTACAGAAGATATCCCATATCCTAAAAAGACTACATTTTCTTTCTATATTTTAGAATTTTATATTTGCAGTTCATTTCAAATAAGAGGATGACACAGCTTGCTTCTGCTATTGCTTGCATGTTTATACTTCCCCCAAATTCATATGCTGAAATCCTCACCCTTAATGTGATGCGATTAAGAATTGGGGCCTTTAGGAAGCAGTAGAGTCCTCATCAATATAATTAGTGCCCATATAAAAGAGTTGAAGACAGAGATTTCACCCTTTTCAACATAGAAAGACTCAGTGAAAAGTCCATCTATATGGAAGCGGGTCTTACCAGACATTTAATATGTTAGCACCTTGATCTTAGACTCTTTGTTCTCCAGAACCATGAGTGACAAATTTTCATCATTTATGAAATAGATACTTTGTTATATTTTACTGAAGCAATCCAAATGAACTATGATCGCTTCCACAACAGTCTTCCAGTGTGAAGGTCACATAGTGAAGGACTAAGACTTGCAAGGACGAGATTAGAGAGGTACTATAAACATCTAGGTAAGAGGTATGGTGGGCATAAACTTAAAAAAGCAACTATAAAATTTTAAAAAAGGGATGGATCCAAGACATATGTAGGAGTAGGTATTCATAAAATAATGACTGGATAAGAGAATTGAAAGAAAACAAAGAACTATAAATGATTCCTATATTTTAAGTTTGGGCAACTGGGTGGATTCCCAAATAAAGTGTACAGAAAGGGATTTAGTGTACAAAAAGTGTATAGAAAGCAGATTTAAAATGAAGAGTTGTTGCTATTGTTTATATTCAACTTTGAGTATAAATTTACTGTAGGAAGATACTGAGGGACAAACTTGGGAATTTATAAGGGATCCCAAAAAGATAGAGTTATATTCCTATTTCTTTCACATATACTCATTTCTCTTGTATTATTCTATGTGACTGCTAAGCATATTTCTAACTCTATCTCTGTTCAAGGCCAAAACTTATTTCTCTGCTAATTGTCAATAATTTATTGCATATTATATGTTTTTGTTAGGACTGGAAAATGTTGAATTGAAGCCAGTTATCTCAATGATAAAATAGAAAATTGGAATCAAGGAGGTGCTTTAACAGAATTATTGGAAGATTGGTGGGGCCCATTCATCCCTCCACAATGAGATAATCAGGCAGGAATCCAACCCCTGTTTTGAGTGTTTCCCAAAGTTATTTCCCTGAAAAGCCAAAATCCTCTGAATGCTAGCAGGAATGAATGAATGGCATGCAGGAAGGAAAAACTGAAGACTTGGGAAAAAGTTTAAATGCTGCTGGGGGTGGTGATACATACCTGTGGTCCCAGTGTTGAGGAGGCTGAGGCAGGAAGATCACTGCATGTTCAAGGCCAGACTGGGCTACAGAGTGAGTTCATGGTCAGCCTGAAGGCATTGTCTCAAAAAAGAAAAAAGTTTAAAAGACAAGAAGAGGTCTCTACTTTGGGGGAACATTTTTACTCTGATCCTCATATGTCAGCTGTAACATGAAAAAGAAAGCCTAGGGTTAGGGCACCACTTCAAGGAGCAAAGTAAGCTGTATCTTATTTAACTCTCCTGAAGAAGTCACCTATAAATTATGAGGAGATCCCATACTCACAGAGTTACAGATGAGTCATGGTCAATCAAAACCAATGAGAAAGGATGAGAGAGTATAACTATGTGTAGTCCCTACTATTTTCTCTGAGGCTTGTCTGCCCTAGCTCTCACCCGCCTATCATGTCAGCAGCAACAACCACCTCCCTTGTTTGAAGCATGGGGGCCCTACAAGAACTTTCCCAAGGTTTCTGAATTAAACAACAAAGCCACTCAAACTCAGTGCTTGGAGACAGAAAGATTGGTGGGACCATAAATGTAGTAGTGATTCATTTAGGAGACACTCTATGGACTGCCGCCTCTATTACATCAAGTAGATCAAGTACTAACTCGATTTTAAACTGCAGATTCTAGTCATAGATTGGCAAAACCACTCAAATGGTAGCCTAGTCAAATTGATTTAGGTGATATTTTTCATAGCTCTTGCTTTCTTCCTGATGGGAAATGAATTATCACAGTTTCTTTAGGTCCTTCTGAGTAGAGGAGTAAATTTAATGCAGATAAAATGGTGTTATAATCCCCAAATATCTACAGGTAATTGAGGCCAGAGAAGTTTTCCGATGCCATTGAGATCTGGCCTACACACAATGTATTACAGCTTATAATAGGCTTTAGGGATGTCTGAAATAAAGATCCTGTGGTTTCCCAGGATAGAAACTTAGCAACTGAAGAATGATAATGCTTTTTAAAGTCTGCTTTGTGTATGAATCCATCTGTGTTTCTCAGGCAGTTTCTCATTGCAAGGTGCCCAGGTATTGCATGTGCTTGAGAACACGGTCTTAGGCAAAATTAGAAGTAAACCAGGTTTATCTTTGGTATCCAATTTGCACCTTTTGTGCATTTTTGTGCAGATACACTATCTTCCTTCCCACTTCAACTTCTCAGATACTTAGAAGGTACTCCCTTCTTATTTTCTGCATCTTGTCTCTCAAAAGCTTTTTTTTAAGAAGCACTGGATAAACTCTGTAAAAGGATGATATATCTTTCTGGAAAGGCTTAAATTGTTAATCTTTGTTAGATCAGCTCTTTCATAAGACATGGAGACTAAATCATGACAAGAGTGGGACTGCAAGGTGCCAGCAAATGGGATAGGTGATGAGGAAACAATTCTAAACATAGCCCTTGGTTCTGACTACCATTGCTATGTTCCTATTCATTGGCAGCATTTCAAGACAGATGTTCTCTTTCCACTACTGCTTTTTCACCTAGAGAAAAGTTAAGTAGGCTAAAAGTGCTTTAGACCTGCATAGTATACTCCCTCAGTTTCTTCTCCCTACTAGTTCCTGAATTCCTATATGAAGCCAGGTCTCCTCTTCTCCCTATAATTCAATTGCTTAGTTTTTGTTCACTTGTTTTTTAATTTTGAAATATTTTAAACTTTTCTTTGTACATGTTTGCATCACATAGTGTTTACACTCACTTTTGGGGATTGGTACAAGTATGTAATGCATTTCAACTCCCTACTTTTTCCCCATTCCTGGACCCTCCTTTTACTTTTCCAGCATCATATTCATTTATTTATCTTATAAAACTTAAAAAATTAACAATTATATGTACAGGTTGAAGCAAGACTAACAGGCCAAGGAACATAAAAAATATGCAAAACTAAATTTTAAACATTTTGCAGCATGCCTAATGATGACATAACATGCTTTCTTGTCATTTTTAAAACTGTTCTACCACATTCAATTACTTGAAATGCGTTCTCCATCCAAATCTTTTTCTTCTTTTCCCCATGTACTTGAGCTTCCTTACATGAAAAAAAATTAAATATTTAGTGTCCTTTAATGTTCATCTTTACAGAATAGCATGCAGCTGATGAGAACAACAAATAACATAAATTTTGATGAATATTTCTTTTGAAGGTCATCCCAAATGTTCCCTGTATCTACTTTTAAAATTATAAAATTGATGTTTCCTTCAGTCAGAAAAAATTTCTCAAGTGCAAGCAGTATATAAAAAAAAAAAAGTTACCACTGCTACACTTCTCAACTAAAGGTTTGACAAGAGAAAAATATACAGAATATTTTAAATAGTAATTTTAACAGAGGAGTAATGAAATTTCCATAAATAAAAAAACACACTTCTTTTCTATCAACATTTAAATAATATCTTCTGATAAAACTAGTGATATACTGTAGTTTTCCTGATTGATCAATTCAGTATTTATGATTAAGAAAATTTTAAAATTTTTTACAAAGCCATCATCAGAGAAATTCAACTATGCATAGCTATATGTCATTGAACCAAAATTAATCTAAAAATAATTAAAGAAATTAAAAAATTTATTCTTTTTTAATTACTAAAAATTTTTCACTGAAATTTATGCCATATGTATGTCTTTAAAATATAAAAAGAGATACTCATATACAGTACATTTACTTTTGGTGACAAAGGTTTTATTCTTCCTCAGAGCCAAGATTTTCCTCAAAAATTCAAATATATTGATAGGAAAGACCATTTATATGGTGACTAGTAAGGGGAGGACCAGTTTAAGCCAAACATAGTGCCTTCATTTGCTAAGAAGCTAATGTTAGTTTAGTTTTAGTAGTTAATTTCATCTTTAAAAACTATTGCCCAAGAGATCTAACATAATTTGTCTAAATAAAAGAATTTTCATATATTTCTATGCTATATTATTTTCCTCTGTGATTCTAAGTCCCAGGTTGTCATTCAATTTCCAGAAGTATGACTCCGGAGAATACAAGAAAACCCAATTTCTGTCCAGGGATCAATTAGTGGAAAATTTTGTGGACCTTAATATAGGAAAGTCTTCATTTATCAAATGACCTACTGGGAACTGTCATCTTCCTCACAGTCTCACTCATCTTTTTAGTAAGTGATAACAGAAGCTTAAGAAATGGAAGTAGAAGTCCAAAATAGATAAAGATGATTTTGTGGACACAGAATAGCTTTCTTCCTGAAAGAGCCTTTTTCTTTGAGCATCAAAATCCAATGGAAACACAGCATATGTTTTCAATTTGTTACATGCTCCAGGTGCTTCAAGAAATGTAACTTTCTTGCCAGGGGATTTAGTTCAGTGGTGCCTCCACCTGCTTCGCAAGCCCAAGGTCCCAAGTACAATCCCCAACACCAAACAAACATATTTTTCTGACTTTTGATCAAGAAATAGATGGCAGGTTTTTAAATATTTGACAAGAAAACTCTTAATTAAAGTTGTACTTCTGGAAGTGTTGTTCATGGGTTTGCAGAGACTGAGTAGGGATGGTGGAGCACTCTGCATTAGCAGTACAGGGTGCTTGATCTTTCTGAGGTCTGAAGGGTAAAGCACATGGACCATGAGGAAGCTGGATCTATGGAAGAGGGGTGGCCCCACAGCTTCTTTGGCTCTGGAAGATGTTGACAATGACAGTGACACTGCTGGTAACATAAGCAGAGGAGGGGAAAACACAGCCTAACAAGTCCAAATAAAGCTTTCTCTTCTGCTTTTCTGTTATTTCCTATCAGTGTCAATTGTTTGTTGAATCCAAATGGAACTCTGGAAGAAAAAGAGCAAAGGTGACACACTCGACAGTGATCAAATTACAAAACAGGGAACAGAGGGCCAACTTTATCTTCCGGGCTGGTGATAAAAGAAAGCAAGGGAGCAACTGCCATACTTGGTCTACTCTCCTTCTCATGTTTTCCAGTAGATTTAAATGAATTTCAAAGTGGACGATAGTATGTTTGGTGGGAGAACTGAGAAAATGGAGAAATATCTTAAACCATGTGCTTTTCTTTTCATTGCAAAAACACAAATACTATTTCCATTAATGTCAACATTAGTTTCATAGGGATTATAAAATTTTAAAAACATGAATGTTGTAAAAAATAAGCAAGTCAGTTAAACTTCCCTTTCATTTTTGCTCTTTCTTCATTTATTCATTTATAAATCTATTCAAACTCTTCTCTCAACAGATTTTGTCAATAGTATTAACAGATAATTTCTCTTTTTTATTTTTTTCTTTTTATTGAGTTTATTTGTACATTCTAGGTATACAGTACAGTTACATTCATTATTGGTGTCTTGTACTTTTACATGGCAGGTCTTGGTTCTCATATTTTCCCCTTGTCCCTGCCCTCCCTTCACTCCATCCTCTCCTCCTTTTTTTTCCTTTTTTTCATTTTCTCATATTTTTTTCTTTTCCCTTATTCCCTTTCCCCTACCCTTCCCACTTTCCCTACACCTTTAGCCCTTTTATTCCTATTTCACATTGTTAATTATCTCATTAGGATCTTTTGTACTATTATACTTTTTCACAGCAGAGAAACTATTTGGTATTTACACATGTGACATTTATTTCACTTAGGAGTATATCCTCAAAATGTACCCCTTTTCCTATGAAATAATCGAATGTCTCATTCTTTATGGCTGAGTAGTATTCCATTTTATAGAAAAATCACATCTTCTTTATCCAGTTTCCAACTGATGGGCAAAAGGGCTGTTTTCAAGTTTTAGCTATTTATTACAAACTGTGCTGCTATAAATATAGGTATGCATATGTTATTGTGATATGATTCTTTTAATTCTCTTGGAAAGATACCCAGAAGAGGGATGGCTGGGTCAAATGGAACCTCTAGTCCCAGCTCATTGAGGAATATCCTTATTGATTTCCATAGTGGTTGCACCAGTCTGCACTCCCACCAACAATGGAGAAGGGTTCCTTTCTCCCCACAACCCCACCAACATTTGTTATTGTGTGATTTCTTGATAGCAGCCATTCACGTGGGGTGAGGTGGGATCTCGGTGTTGTTTTCATCTGCATCTCTTGAATGACCAGTGATGTGGAACATTTTTTCATCTATAGACTTGATGCTTTTACTTCTTATTTAGGTCTTTAATGCACTTGGATTTTAATTTAGTGCATGGTGAGAGATAAGGGT